CCGCGCCTCGCTCAGCCAGTGAGCGGGAACTGGTCTGTATGTGGGATCCGAACCCTCGGGCGGGAGCACCACTGCGCTTCCCAAGCGGCGCATTATCCAGTGCGCCACCGGGCCGGCCCGTAGATAAACATTTAAAAGATGATAATGCACCATGAAGGTTGATAACTTCTTTAAGACATAATATGCTCTTATATCAAGATAGGATTTTATAACCTTTAAAAAGACAGAATAAGCAAAGCATAAAACAGAGCAATTATGTAACAAAAAGATAGTATAAGATTCCATGGCAAATATTATAGAGTATTAAGAAGTAAAGAAATATGGGTTTGGTATGTTTAAGGAAAGCTTCATGGAAAGCAACCTCAAATAAAGTTTGGGGTTAGAAATAGGAGAGAATACATTGAAATGATTTTCAACATGCTCTTCAATACAGTCATAATTAAAGGGGATTTATGAAGCACATGTTAAGTTGGGCTGTATATTCCCAATGGACACCCACTCTTCCTTTAGAACCTTTTCATGATTCTCTGTTGGCTCTAGTTCTGCTCTTACATAGCCTTTTGCTGGCAGCTCAGGTTCCAATGTATCTAGAGCAGCTAAATCACTATGGGTTTACATCATTAGTACCAAAGTCATCCTTGTCTTGAGGACATGCCTACATCACTGCAGAACTAATCTTGCAGGGAAGAAGAAGGTGGAGAACTCCTTGCCGGATCTGCTTGGTCTTCACACTATAGATGATTGGGTTGAGCACCGGTGGAACCAATAAGTAGATGTGAGCCATAAAGATGTGGATGAGAGGGGAGGAGTGTTTAGCAAAACGGTGAACAACAGATAACNAAAGACAAAAAAAAAAAAAAAAAAATTACTAAGTCTCGGCTTCTTATAAGATTAAAATTATATCTAAAAATGAAGAAAAAAATATATATATATGGAGGTTGCCCCTTTCTATTCCTGAGGAAACAAAGCCTCCTTAGGTAGGGCAAAATACGTAGATAAACATTTAAAAGATGATAATGCACCATGAAGGTTGATAACTTCTTTAAGATATAATATGCTCTTATATCAAGATAGGATTTTACTACCTTTAAAAAGACAGAATAAGCAAAGCATAAAACAGAGCAATTATGTAACAAAAAGATAGTATAAGATTCCATGGCAAATATTATAGAATATTAAGAAATAAAGAAATATGGGTTTGGTATGTTTAAGGAAAGCTTCATGGAAAGCAACCTCAAATAAAGTTTGGGGTTAGAAATAGGAGCGAATACATTGAAATGATTTTCAACAAGCTCTTCAATATAGTCATAATTAAAGGGGATTTATGAAGCACATGTTAAGTTGGGCTGTATATTCCCAATGGACACCCACTCTTCCTTTAGAACCTTTTCATGATTCTCTGTTGGCTCTAGTTCTGCTCTTACATAGCCTTTTGCTGGCAGCTCAGGTTCCAATGTATCTAGAGCAGCTAAATCACTATGGGTTTACATCATTAGTACCAAAGTCATCCTTGTCTTGAGGACATGCCTACATCACTGCAGAACTAATCTTGCAGGGAAGAAGAAGGTGGAGAACTCCTTGCCGGATCTGCTTGGTCTTCACACTATAGATGATTGGGTTGAGCACCGGTGGAACCAATAAGTAGATGTGAGCCATAAAGATGTGGATGAGCAGGGAGGAGTGTTTAGCAAAACGGTGAACAACAGATAACCCCATCATAGGCACATATAGAATGAGTACAGCACAGATGTGTGATGCACATGTGTTGAAGGCCTTAATCCTCCCTTCACGGGATGCAATTCTTAACACTGAGTGAAGAATAAAAACATAAGATGTGAAAATGCCCAGGGAGTCCATGCCCCATAGCACAGTGATCAGAACCAACCCATATATAACATTAAACTTGGTGTCAGCACAGGCAAGACGGATCATGTCCTGGTGCAGACAATAGGAATGAGAAAGGATGTGGGAGTGGCAGAAGGGAAAGAAGGCCAGACGGGCCAGAAGTGGAGTTATTGCAATAGCACTCCTGAGCAGGGCTGCAATTCCAATCTTGGCAATAAGTTTTGGGGTAAGAATGATAGCATATCGCAGAGGGTGACAGATAGCTACATACCGGTCAAGAGCCATGGCCAAGAGCACAGATGATTCAGTGAAAGAGAATGTGTGAATGAAAAACATTTGGAGCACACAGATATTGAACTGTATTTCCCTAGAAATGGACCACAACACCCTGAAGAGTGATATCATTGTGGGTAGGGACATGCCCATGTCAGTTACAGAAAGCATGGCCAGGAAATAGTACATGGGCTCATGGAGCCTGGGGTCTGTCCAAATAATGTACAGGATGGTACAGTTGCCCATTATTCCAGCAAGGTAGAGCAGACAGAATGGGATGGAAATCCAGTGGTGAAATCCTTCATAGCCAGGGATACCTGTGAGATAGAATGTGGAAGACAAAGTATTGCTGGAGTTTGAGGTTGCCATACTGCTGACTGTTGAACCACAAGCCAATTCCACAATCACACTCCAATGGAGAAGGCAGTAATCAGACCAGGATCTGCATCAGAAAAAAGGAAAAGAAACAAAACAAAATGTCAGTGCTTACCTATAATTACTCCTTAACCCATCCCCATACTTCAATTTTGTCTATCTCCATGACATTGCTGAATATTGTTGGTTAAGTAAAATGTCCACTTTATAACCACAAGAAGAACCTTCCCTTCTGCTTTCCAGATGCAAACCCATTGAACATCCTCTCTAAACATGAATGATCTCCTTCCAGAGACACTACTCAGACAGAATAGCACACACACAAATTCTAGAGTACCTTTTTAATTTTGTAATTTTCTTTAGACACTTTTTTGGCCAGGGTTACTGCCCATTTTTTATGACTCCTGCAATGATTTACATTAAACTCCTTCATCTGCCTAAACTTGATAATTTCCTTAACAATGCTAGAATACCATGCGAGATATTGTTACAGAATTTAGGCCTTAGGCTGCTATCGACGAGCATGGTTCCTGTTCTTACTAACCTATTCCCAACCATGCCATTGATGTCACAGGCTGGTTCTCTTCAGAAAATCAACTCTAATAATAACATATTAATTTGATTTTAGGCTGTCATCCCCAAGAGGTAAATAAGTATGGGTTAAGATTCAGTTAAATGAAATACGGTAAAAAATTTTTAAAAATTACATTAATAAAATATGTAATTTAAGAAAAATAGAATTTAT